CAAAATAAAAGGGGTTCATAGGAAAGAAAAGAGAACTATCGTAGCAAGGACCATCGACGACCTGAAGCTGTCTGAACAATGCATAAACAAGGACACCGTGAGAAACTGTAAGCACCTGAAGGCAATTGAAAATCAACTCCTCTACGTCACCGAGAGGCCCAAGCTACTGATAGGCCAAGACAATTGGGGACTGATAGTGACAAGAAAACTGAAGAAGGGCAAACCATCAGATCCTGTAGCTTCCCTCACGAACTTAGGGTGGGTGTTACACGGATGTGAATCAGGAACAACTGCCACAGTACACTTCACTCATTATGGCAAAGCGACCACTGGCGAGGAAGACATAGAAGACCTCGTCCGAGAACACTTCCAACTAGAGTCTCTAGGGATCCAAAATCGTTCACCATCTAACGACAGCGACAGAAGAGCATTAGAAACCCTCGAGAAAACTACCAAGAAACTGCCAAGCGGTCAATATGAAACGGGTCTCCTGTGGAAAAAAGAAGATGAACGCCTGCCCAACAACTACAATCAAGCTGTTCGACGCCTGGTCAGCATCGAGAAAAAATTGGATCGTGATCAAGAAGCAAGAAAGCACTACGAGGAGCAGATCCTGAGTCTAATCGAAAAAGGATACGCAGAGAAGGCTCCAGAAACCTCTAACAAAGGAAGGACATTCTACCTACCCCACTTCGCTGTTGTACACCCAGTCAAGAAGAAGCTAAGAATAGTGTTCGACGCAGCTGCCAAGTACGAAGGAAAGAGCCTCAACGACGCCTTGCTCTCGGGCCCAGACTTGCTACAATCACTATTCGGAGTACTGCTGCGTTTCAGAGAGGGACCAGTAGCCGTCATGGCAGATATACAAGACATGTTTCTCCGAGTAAAAGTCAGAGAAGACGACCGAGACAGTCTCAGGTTCCTGTGGCGCGGAAACCGAAGAACCGGCAAGCCTGAAGAGTATAGAATGTCTTCAATCATCTTCGGAGCAGCGTCATCACCTGCAACAGCGATATACGTAATGAACAAGAACGCAGAGGAATTTAAGAACACTCATCCTGAAGCAGTGAAAGCAATTAAGAGAAATCACTACATGGACGACTATCTGCAAAGCTTCGCATCTACAACCGAAGCAAAGAAGATATCCAAAGAAGTGAAAGACATTCACGCAAGAGCAAACTTTCATCTGAAGGGATGGGCCAGCAACAACTCGGGGGGTAATATCAGAGGTAGAAGACACAAACAAAGAAAACTCCTTACAACTGACCAAGGAAGAGAAGACTCTGGGATTAAGATGGCTGGTGAAAGAAGATGCATTAGCCTTCAACGTCGGGCTACGCAACACGCCGGAAGACCTGCAAGACGGCAGAAGGACTCCAACAAAAAGAGAAGTCACAAGCGCAGTAATGTCCACATTCGATCCAATGGGTTTTGCTACACCAGTTCTAATACAAGGGAAGAAACTAATCCAAGACATTTGGCGAAAGAAAATAGACTGGGATGAACCAATCAACGAACATCAAAAAGAAGCCTGGATGAAATACCTGGAAGAAGTTTCAACATTAACAAGGCTGAAGATCCCGAGATGCGTCTCACCCAAAGGCAGAAAAGGTCAGCTACACACGTTCTCCGATGCGAGTGAAGAAGCCTATGCAGCAGTAGTCTACTGGAGAATAGTAGAGCCCGGAGGAAAGGTCCATGTCTCCATGATCGCCGGCAAAGCAAGGGTAACGCCGACGAAACCTGTGTCAATTCCGAGGCTAGAGCTACAAGCGGCCTTACTCGGAAGCAGACTAGCCGCCACGATCGAAGAGGAATCAGAGCTCGACATATCGAAGAAGGTTTACTGGACCGACTCCAGCACAGTACTGCAGTGGATAAAGTCAGAACCAAGGAAGTTCAAAACCTTTGTGGCCAACCGACTCGCCGAGATCGAAGAAAGGTCCAAGCCAGAAGACTGGAGATGGGTGCCAACCAAGGAGAATCCAGCGGACGACGCCACGAGGGGAACCCCAATCGAATTCGACCACAACGCCAGATGGTTCAAAGGCCCGTCATTTCTCCGCCGACCAGAAGAAGAATGGCCATTCCACGACTTCAAACCGGAAATTGTTATGCCAGAAGAAAAAAGCAAGCAAAAGGTGTTGGCAACAATGGCAGCAGAAGACACTCTACTAAACCTAGAAAGGTTCTCGAGCTGGGAGCGACTGCTGCGCACTACAGCCAGAGTGATCGCCTTTACACACCTACTAAAGAAGAGCCGTAAAGCGACCACCACCGCCGCACGCCAGAAGGATGAGTCCTGGAAACCACAAAAAATCCAGAAGAAAAAAGCACAAACCTCGATCCCGTCGACCAGCAGAAGTGAAAATAAACGCCTATACTCACCCATAGAAGCAGAACACCTAAAAAAGGCCGAAGAGATATTAATAAAAATAAGCCAGAACGATAGTTTTGCATCAGACATAAGAAAACTGAAGTCAGAAAAGCCATTAGAAAATTCGAGTCGACTCAAGAAAATCGACGTTTACATTGGAGACGACGGAATAATTAAATTAAGGAGCAGAACAATGAAATTCCACGATCAAAACGGAAGAATAATGAATCCTATCATTTTAGACGGAAAACAAAAAATAACTCGTCTAATAATACAACACTATCACAGGAAATTCCTTCACGGAAACACCGCTACAGTAATGAACGAAATTCGTCAAAGGTTCTGGATCTTGGGTTTAAGAGCAACTCTAAAAGCGGTCGCACACAGCTGTCAATGGTGCAAGACAAAGAAGAGTTCACCAGAGATACCACCAACGGGAGATCTGCCGAGTGAAAGATTGCAGCATCATCAATTTCCGTTCTCCTGCACAGCTGTAGACTACTTCGGGCCGATGCAAGTCACCATCGGAAGAAGGAACGAGAAGCGCTGGGGAGCCTTATTTACCTGTCTCACAACTAGAGCAGTACATTTAGAGCTGGTACCTTCTCTCAGCACCAGCTCAATGATCATGGCACTCCGACGAATGGCAGCCAGAAGAGGAACTCCGAAAACAATATATAGCGACAACGGAACTAATTTCGTCGGAGCGAAAAGGGAATTAGAAGAGGCCGCACAGGAAAAGGGCATCCAGTGGAAGTTCATCCCCCCCGGGAGCTCCAAACATGGGAGGCGCCTGGGAGAGGCTCGTACGAACAGTCAAAACGGCGCTAGCAGTAGTCCTCAACGAGAAGAGCCCGCCCGAGGAAGTACTCCATACGCTAATGACTGAGGTTGAACACATCGTCAACTCGAGACCTCTCACCCCGATCAGCATGGACCCAGGAGACGAGGAAAGCCTAACACCGAACCACTTTCTGCTGGGAAGATCATGCGGAGCTATGGCGCCGGGAGAGTTCAGCGACACGGAGCTCATCGGAAGGGCAAGCTGGAGAACCACCCAGAGACTCGCAGACCACTTCTGGAAAAGGTGGATTAAAGAATACTTACCTCTCCTGATGCCAAGGAAACTCGATGGGAAAGAAACCAGAGACCCAAGGGAAGGAGACATCGTGCTAATAGTAGACGCCACATTACCGCGAAACTCATGGCCTCGCGGTGAAATCGTCAAAACCTATCCCGGACCAGACGGAAGAACCAGGGTGCTGGACGTGCGGACATCAGGTGGAATACTTCGCCGTCCAACTCGACGTGTCATCGTGCTGGTGCCAGCGGAGTCGTCGCCTCCAGAGGATGCAGTGCTACGCACCGTGGGGGAGAATGTTAGCGACGACAAAGTGAATTCGAACATTTAATCTTAATTATTCCTTATCAGTGATTTAAAACTAAGTGATAGTATTTAATTCTAATTGTTTCCTATTCGTAAAATAAAGCTAAGTGTAAAGACTGATAGTGCTGAAAACGGGAAAGTAAATTAGACACTTCTATTCTTATCTTAAAGTAACTTATATGAATCTATTTAATATTATTTAGGTCTGATTAGAACATTAGACGCAAGTATAAGCTTATTTTCTAGTAAGATTTTTTTATCATAACTTTAAGAGCTATTAACATATAGGTGATTAATATAATTCTTTTTCCTTTAAAGTAATTCAAAAGAAACATTAATATGTCAATTAATCACTATATAATGTCATTTCATTATGAGAAAGATTTAAATTTTATGAAAAAATATTGTATAGATTCTTAAGCATTAATCCTGAAAAAGTGTTGTACATTCCTACCTCTTGGCGGCGCTACTTGTATGTTCGGCAAAAAAATACTATCCTACTCCGGAGCTAAACCGTGAAGCGACCGCGAAGCTATTTTTATTTTTTATAAGTGTAAAATAAAGGTTTATTGAATAATTTAGGTTTAGAATAATAGAAATAAGTTGTATCTATCGTTAGGAATAAATATAAATGTTGTAAGGTATGTTTTACCACGTTTATTAAGAAAATTGTAAATCTCTCTTAGAAAGGGTTATTCTGTGCTCTGATTGGTCAATAGATTCACTAATGCCGTGTGCGATTTTTTCTTAATTATGATTGGTTACAGCCGCTTATAAAAAAGGGGCGTTTTTCGTGGTAAAATATTCCAAATCCGGCAATGTAATAATAAGGAATCAAGAAATAAAATAAGAAGAAACTCTCAAGAAGTGTTATTTATTGCTCATCTAACTGCTACTGTATGCTCTCCAGTTAACATCCCGCCAGCAAACCCGCTCTATTTTATCGACGCTCCCTTATACGAGCAATTACACTAATAATATGAAACTTTAAATCCTTGTTACTTTTAACATACTGATAAGATTCTAATACCTGTGTTTGTCATATTTGTTCTAGGTAATTCAACAAATAGATTTGTCAAAATTCTCGGAGGAAAACTGAATCCTTGTATTATCACAGACTCTTATTTTAATTAAACTCATAAGCTTTCACTTTCCACTCAATACGTAATTGGCGAATTTTATCAAACCACCACAAAAGAAAGAAGAAAACTAAATTTATTATATTTACTTTTCAAGGTGACTGCTGGCAACAGGTTGTTCCACCACATTGTAGAATCGGATACGGTGGGCACAAAAATTCTGAAAGAGATGAACCGGCAAAGTCTACCGGGAGAAGTGACTTTCATGCCCCTCAATCGTTTGCAAGTACGGGATATGGTTTATCCCAATGACAATGTAAGTTTGTGCAGTTTTATTAAGAATTATATTTAACATTATTATCATCATAACCCATCGCCGGACATGACCTCTCCTAAATTAGCAGTAGATTCATTGTAAGTGCCCTCCGTGCCGATGGCTCCGTGGGCGCTGCTTTCTTCTCTTTCTTTATATCTTTGGTTATATAGTGTATTTAAACCTCGCGCATTCTATCTTGGTCGGGCTGAAGTTAGTCGCACGAGGCTGTGCAGATATAGTTTTTAGGAACAAAATGGTAAGAGGAGTGAGAGGGAGGCTAGTAGCTAAAACTAGAGATGCAAACACGGATATTGTGCGGCTACAATTACGACAGATTAAAAAATGTTACGTAGAATCGATTATCGTTATTATCGATTACGATTCGATTTTATTTTTTATTTTACTAAACTGTCATTAAAATTCAACATGTCGTTTTAAATACAGTCATTAATTTATTATATTTTTTTTATTTTTAATTATTTATCACATTCCATTAGAAAAAAAAGATACAATGGGCGGACTAAATTCTTAAAGGCATTCTCTCCCAGTCAGTAAATACACATTATATTTAACAAAATATATTATATTATATTGTAAGTATATAATATATTTAAATTTATGGATAATATATAATTATACATATATTAAATCATATTCATAATTAAATACGACTATTTAACAATATTGTAATTATTTTGTTTTGGGGTTACTGAAATAATTTGTTGTCCCTGCGAATATCGTATATTTATTATATATTGAAAATGTTTATCGTAATTATTCATTAGATTTAGATATACTATTGTTTTATTAAAATACGTAAAGATATTTTCATTACAATAATTATTTTCAATATGTGATATTAGATATAAACAAAACCAACTGCTTCCGATGTTAGGAGCGAATATAAAGTGCCGCATCTCTATCGACTAGCCTCTTTATATGCGCAAGAGCCAACTTCAGCCTGGCCAAGATAGAATGCGCGAACAATACATCCATTACAAACTAAATTGATATAGCGCCAATATCGCAGATATACTTGACTTCCTTTTCTTGCCTAAAAGTCCGTCTGTGTTGGTACGCATCCTCCCTATTTAGCAAGATTTCGTTTGAAGGGAAGGCCATGAGGCTGTGTTTTTCTTGTCTCTAAGCGGTCACTACGCATCTATTCTAATCTGTGATTGTAAATGACAGTTACTTAAAGGAACAGCAAACCATTAAATACACTGGTTATTTTTTTCAGAATGCCATCGCTATGGTACAGAAGCTAAAATACGATCCTAAGTACGCAAAAGCGATGAAGTACATCTTTGGCAAAACTCTCATTTGCAGGAATCTCGAATGTGCCACAGAGTTGGGCAAGCAGTTTCATCTAGACTGCGTCACGTTGGAAGGTGACCAGGTTAATATTATCATATTATATTAGTATTTTACTGTGTTTAATTTATTTCCAACGTTTATTTTGAGTGCTTTGGAGCGTCCATGGTCACTGAGGGGATTGCCCATTTAGTAGATAATATAAAAATAATAATAATACTTTACTGGTGGCAGCAACAGTGTGTATTTCATTAAGACAAAAAAAACCTAAACGGGGCAATCCACCATAGTCGTCAAAGGTGACAACGCATCTATATTTTGATTCTTAATTGAGGATACACGTAGATGTCAATGGGCCACAGCACCAACCACCAGGTGGACTGTGTGCTTGTTTGTCACTCCTATTCTATAAAAAAAATGTTTCGCATGCTGAGTGTAAAGAACCGGATAATCTTTTTACTGGGAACGAGGCACTCCACCTAGTTCCACAGGGGTGACAACGTATTTGCATTTTGATTCTTATTCAATTGTTCAGTCTATGGGCTACAGTATCAACTTAACATCATGTGGACTGTGTACTCATTTGTCACAGCCATAGTTTACATAATAAAAATATATTTAATCCAATACACTGTAAACAGAGCACATGTACCACTATTAACACCAAAACATAAACCGACACAATAACCTTCAAAAAATGGACGCTAGTTTGCCCATTCACTCACAATTCGGAGTGCTTCCATTTGGCGTGGCGCACGTTTTTGACATTGACGGACGGCCGCAGATAACGTCCAGTTGGACTGGACGCATGGATTTCAATCCGTTTGGAAATCCAGAGCTGGATGAAGTCCATCCAAATGGAATATTTTTTTACCATTCACGGAACATTTTTATACATGGTAGAGCCATGCTGCAGTTATATTAGAAGTATAGTTGTATCACGAATGGGTCGGCTCGAACGGGGAAGGACCACGCTCTCACAGAAGACCATCGTAAAATAGTAGCTCATTGCTGCTGTGTTTCGTATGTTGAGTGTAGGGAACCGGAGACCCTTTTTACTGAAAAAGTGGCGTTCCATCTTAGTCCTCACGGGTGACAACGCATCTGCATTTTGATTCATAATGAAGGATAGATGTAGATGTCTATGAGTCACAGCAACCAGTTACCATCAGGTGGACTGTATGCTCGTTTGTCACCCTGTTCTATAAAAAAAAACTATTTTGGGCGATTACCACTCCATTTGGATTATTGGATGTATCATCAGTGGGAACTTTAAGCATTGTCCTATGTTAGCGAGAAAACAACAACAACTTATTTTTTACTTCCATACACCGTTGTACTTACTCGTGGCCTACATTTCTGCAAACTGTTTGCGACAAACTTTTAGTATCTTGAGCAAAGGCTCATTTCTGAGAGGGATTTAGGACAAACAAATGTCCACTGCACTGCCCCAATATGTCTTGGCAGACTTCTCATATTAACTTCGTTTTTTTTATTTATTCGACATTAAGATTTCCTCACGATGTTTTCCTTCACCACATAGAGTACATAGTAAAACAGCACTTAAAATTGCAATAATTAACACATTGCTGCTGGCAGGTTAGGACCTGGGTTGTACACTTACTGTGAAATTTACTGTAAGTGTTTAGCCTCAAGCTACAACATCTCTTGTACCAATATTAATCTTGATTAATTTAAAATCTTCAGGTATCATCAAAAGGCTCGCTAACAGGAGGTTATTTCAACCAATCACGCTCTCGGCTCGAAATGCAGAAGACCCGTTCGGAACTAATGGAGCAAATTACCACATTAGAGCAAGAACTAAACACATTGCGCCAGGAGTTGAGCAAGACTGAAACAAGTATCAACTGCATTGTCTCTGAAATGCAGCGCACGGAAACTAAACAGGGGAAAGCCAAGTCAGTTTATAATATTGTTTATTTTCGTTCTAATAAAGATGTACTTGCTATGAAGGTAACTAAATAAATATCTTCATCAATATGCTTATCAGGCCCACTGTTGTGTTAAGACCTACTTTGTCGTTGGAAACGAAAGAAATCCTGTACATAGCAGTGGTATGTATAGGCTTTGCCATATTCTTTCGAAGCTCTCTTCCTATGGGGTTCCTGAGAAACCGTGCAATTGGATCACCAGCTTTCTTGCAGATCGGAGCATCATAGTCGTAGGGGTCTGGGGCTCCCCAGTACCAGCTCCTTCCATTCAACCGCATCCAGCGCAGAGCGGCTGGAATCGTCGACGACCGAGTGCTTTCTAATCCGCTCGATTCACTGACGCTACGAAGAGATGTTGCATCTGTTTGCATTTTCTTTCGCATATACTACGGGGAGTGCTCTAAGGAATTGTTGGGATTAATCCCACTACGCGGCAAACCTCCCGATACCATCCACACCATCTGGATGCGTGGCGGTCCACCACTGTACGTTTCATTAGGAGTTTTCTTCCGCGTACCACCTTTCTGTGTAATAGTTTACTACCGGCGAGTTATCCGGACGACTTAGGGACCTTCAAGAAAAGAACTTACTCCTTTCTAAAGGGCCAGCAACGCACCTGCGATTCCCCTGGTGTTGCGGTTGTTAATGGGCGGCGGTAGTCACTTAACATCAGCTGAACCGTATGCTCGTTTGCCCCCTCTTCTATTAAAAAAAAAACTTCTGTAAATGACCCTCTATTTCTACAAGTTTTATATTTGTATCCATAGTATTACTCTTGTCTCCTAGGGGTTATAAAATGCTACTAAAAATACCCTGAAGATCATCTGACTCGTGAAGGATGATGGAATATCCATGTAATATATGTATTATGCCAGATGTGAAATATCCAGAATGGTGATGAGTTGTGTCAAAGATGCGAGACATACAATGTTGCGATCGTCTATCCGCCTTGTAACAAATGTGAGTGAGGTCCATCTCCAGCACTAGATTCTGAAATAAGAATAAAACCTTTTTATAATTATAATGTGTCATAGGGATTAACCCAATGGTAAATGTATAATGGTAAACTGTATAAGTGGTAGAAGCCATACTGCAGTTATATTAGTAGTATAGTTTTAGCGCGAATGGGTCGGCTCGACCGGGGAACAACCACACTCTCACAGAATACCAGCGTCAAATAGTAGTTTAACGCTGCTGTGTTTCTTATGGTGAGTAGAGACTGGAGATCCTTTTTTATTTGGAAACGAGGCATTCCATCTTAGTCCTCACGGGTGACAACGCATCTGCATTTTAATTCGTAATCGAGGATAGATGTAAAGGTCTATGGGCCGCAGCAACCACTTAGCATCAGGTGGACTGAGTGCTCGTTTGTCACCCTATCCAATAAAAAAAATGGAAGAGAAAAGACTTAAAGTTCAATTTGATAGTATTGATTTAGTTTGTAGTGATGGTTTAACCATTAAAAACTCAATTGTATTGTATTATCTGTTCTGATTTCATAATTTCGTTGTTTTTAATATCTGTTCTGATTTCCTAATTTAATTCTCAGGGACATATTTGACAAAGTAAAGGCAGACATCCGTTTAATGAAAGAAGAACTGGCGTCAATAGAAAGATTCCGTGGACCCAAAGAGAGGTCCTTGGCGCAGTGCCGCTCCAGCCTCGAGGCTATGCAGGCTACGAAAGAAGGGCTCGAGTCTGAATTACATCAGGTACTTTTTGAATATAATTAAATGAGCGCGTTTTCTTTATACTGACTGACTTGACAATGAATGGAATAGTAAACCTGGCATTATAAATTGGCTTAAAGATACTGTTGTTAATTTGGTAGTTTTGATCGAAATTTCTTATATATGGGTTAATCAGGGTTGCACGGAATAATTATCATAATAATTAGGTACTCATTATTATCAATGATAATAAGGTTTATTCATGCGTGTGAAATAGCGTAAAGTCTATAGCGTGTATCCGAACGCGGGTTGTCCGAATGTTGTATGTAATTTTTTTGTCTTCAAGTCGATAGTGTGTAGACACAAAAATATCAATGAAAATCTTAATATATATAAATTACGTGTCACGTTGTTTGTCCGCGATGGACTCTTAAACTACTTAACCGATTTTAATAAAATTTGCACACCGTGTGCAGTTTGGACCAACTTGAGAGATAGGATAGTTTTTTGCCCATGAATGACCCACAGTTTTCTTTTTGCAAATTTAAGGATTTTTAATAGGACACGACAAATTGTCGTCGAAAAGGGCAGAACAACGTCTGCCTGGCAAGCTAGTAAAATAATAATAAATAAATAAAATGACCCTTGTCCTCAATGTAATGTTTAGATTTTTTACTATTTGTTTTAATTTTTATTTCAATTAATCTGTATCTATTGCTAATAGATATTAGATATGCTAATTTCATCTTTGATTTTACCGAAGTTATAGGTGGGGTTAATAGTAAAATATGGCACGTAATATTAATTTGTTTAAAGTTTGTTATTGTTGATTATATCAAACAAAGAGAATTTTTTAGTTTTGACATAAAATAATTAAAAGTATTAAAATACTTTTAAAACATACACATTACTGCTGGATTAATAAATGTGAATGAACACTATTATCTTGATAATTTGCATAATTATGTATTTAAATACAAATTTATATACAAATTTATATATTAATACATAATTTGGGTTTAATTTATCAAAATTGGAACTACATAGCAGAATCAGGTGGGTGTACGTATGACACCTGTTTTGACTATAACAAATGCTCACGTAAAATACCTAGACATAGACGATAGAAAGATATAGAGAAGGTATTGCAATCGTCAGTCTGTATCCCGTGACGATTAAGAGAAATTTTCCGTACAAGGAGAGAGTCCATGTCCATTAATAGACTTACACGCCGATAGAATAAACAAAAGAAGATAAAAATTAATGAAAAACTTTTAGTAAATCCAAATGTGCATGCCTTAAGCGCTCATGTTATACGTCAATTTTTAAAGTACTATTTAAAATACACACAAGTTTTTACAAATAACCTTATTTACTATTACTTCTAATTTTCCGAAAATTTCAAGTCGAAAAGTCTATAAAAAAGGTTGGAAAATCCAAAAGTTCACGACTCCTAATGCTCATATGATCGTGAAAAATATATATAAAAAAAATTTTCGTAAAAACTATTTTAGCGTTAATAAATTTTTTTCCTCATCAACTTTGTTTCGTTTTCAAAAATTTTTTCATCTTGACAAGTTTCACACCTTCAAATCACACTGCATAAAGTCCAAGACGTGTAAGTAAATTTATATATAAATCCTACGTACTTTTAGTGAAACAATATGTTATAATGAAAATCTGCGATTATAAAAATAATAATATCTAACCTTGGTCTAGTATGTATCAAATTTGGTTTTTGAAGTATTTTGTATTTCTACAGCGATCGATATTTTTCATCATGAGCCGCTGTAAACAAATGATAGAGTAACCCTCTCACAACCGCGGCCGAGCCCGCAGTGAATCAAAGTGTATCTGTATTTAGTAAAATATATTATTTCACGGCTGCTCAAACACTGAAATTTTCAGAATTTTCCGACCGAAAAAAGTTATAACTAAACAAAATAAAATCAAACAGCCATTTACATTCCATGTCTTCCCACGTGATAGATGAAGAGATTAAAAAATAGATTGAGTTGAACAATTGATATTTTCAAAAGTACGATAATAAATCTACACCATAAGCTACTATACCACTTTTTTAATGTAAAAATAGTAATTATTAGATTTTAAAATAATAATAAGTTTAACAATTGTTTATCTTTATCACAATGTGCTTTTTATATTATTTATATGTTCAATATGATTGTTAGATACGATTTCATGCATCAAAACGTTGGATTCTTGGTTTTTAGGCACTAGTAGAACATACATACGCGCTTTGCGCTTAAGGCATGCAATATTGGATTAGTAAAGTATTTCAAACAACAGCCATATTCGTGTTATGGAATACCAATCTTAACAGAATTGAATCGAATCTTTAGAATGCAGTGGCGAAGCCTCCATCCAGAAGCCGGGCTTGCTCTATCAAACTGCTCAATCAATAATATCAACTAATAAAATAACTCGTAAACTGTTTCAAACTATTTCAAATTTAATGAAGATTAATATCTAATTCGCAACCATCCGCTTAATTAAATACAATGAAGAGAGACACATCATTGTATTTATTAAGCGGATGGTTGCGAATTAGATATTAATCTTTATTATAATGAATTTTCGCAAAGTAACGCCTGATTCTATCAATTATTTCAAATTTCCTGCGCGCTCCTCTTTCTTAGGCAGTGCATGACCTCGTAGCATATAATATGTACGTCAACACTTGGCAGTTTGCTTTCAATTCTTCATACTTTAATAGGTACAAGACTCTTTAGTATTAAAGTTTAATTATTATAGGCGTATTTAAAGGTTTAATAACTCAATACTTATATTACCTTATGAGTTAAAAATATCATTTTAAACTTCAGCATAAAATATGTACCTAGGTATAAGTTTAATTTTATAGCAAATAATTGTTACAATCTTTTTTTAATGAGAAACCCAAAATTTAATGTAATAAATTAAATGAATAGATGTATTTAGGTTTTTAAAGAATATTTACTTTAGTCCTTAAAGCTTTATCTTCTCAGTTCAGTATATAAAATGTTAATAGCGCTAAAATGTTTATTGAATTAAAATGAAAATTTTAATTCAATAAACATTTCTTCATACTTTAATAGGTACAGGGCTCTTTAGTATTAAAGTTTAATTAATCTAGGCGTATATGTAATAAATTAAATGAATACATGTATTGAGGTTTTTAAGGAATTTTTCCTTTAGTCCCTCAGTATATAAAATTTTGATAGCGCCATCTACTTAATTCTATGGGTGAAGTCATTTTATCGAACGAAAATTGATTCTCACGGTGGTACGTAAAGATTACGCTAGACGGCACAAACACGCTATCGGCTAATTTAATATTTATATTACCTTAAGAGTTAAATATATCATTTTGTACGGTTTATTAAAATTTAAAATGAATAATTATATAATAAATAGTCATTATTATATGGTAAAAAAAATTTGCAAAGCTTTATCTTCTCATTATACCATATCTTATTCCTGTCGTAATCTGTTCTTCTATGCATATAACTTAAATAAAATAATTTTAATGTTTCACATCTGCCAGGCTTAATTTTGTACATAGTTTGTTTCTACTTTGTTCATGCTTTTCTTTTGCTCATGTATTGTATGTAAATATCTTTTTCTGTCGCTCAAGCAAACCCAAACGGCTCTTTTCAAAGCAACTGAATATGAAACTAAGGAGTGGAGACAGATCAAGAGTGGTGTATTTTTATAAAACTGCTAAAAACAACAAAACCATATCTTGAGCTTGCCTTAGTTTGGAGCCCTAGCTTTCCCACTGTTAGAATGCATCCTTAGGATTTTCAGCATCAGATATTTCATTCAGTGTTGAATAAAAAAAAAATCATTATAAATTTGCGGTTTAATAATGTCAAAGCATAGAGTATTCAATCGAGCTCACTACAAAGTATCGATACTTGACAGATAATTAATTTTGGTGAGGGATTTTGCTTTTTTAGAAATTATTTTTTTATGGAATAACTGTGACAAACGAGCACACAGTCCACCTAATGGTAAGTGGATGCACATAGACATCTACATTTATTCCCAATTAAGAATCTAAATGCAAATGCGTTGTAACCTCTGAGGATTGAGGTGGAGTGGAATACCTTATTTCCAGTAAAAGGGTAAACATCTTAAAACTGTTATTTTACTCTGGCTTTATTAATATACGCTCTGTCGTGAAAGTATTTTTTACATTTCTATTTTTACCGTTTTATGACCTTTATAATGTCGATCACGATTAAATTATATATTTTAACCTCTGTGATAGGAATTAATGGAACAACTGTCTACGGCGGATCAAGGCAAAGTGGATGAACTCAACGACGCTATCCGACGGCTTACACAAGAAAACAAAGAGGCGTTCAGTATGAGAATGAACCTGGAAGCAACCAAAAATAAACTGGAGAATCTTCTCACCAACAACCTCATTAGGTATTTCCGAACTCATTTCAAACTTCATGTAAACAATCAAATGTTTTAAAGTTGCCAGTTATAATCTATATGAATCTGTCAACTTAAATTCACCGAATTAAATAGAGGGTCAAACTTTGCTTCCTCTTGTATAAATTGATCTACATATTCATAGCATTTAATGTCACTCACTAACGAGATTGAGTTTATAAGTAAATGATTTTCTATTCCTTTATCTTGTAATATATAAAAAATATTGTTTTATATTTATATTTTATTCGCAGCCATACTATCATCAGGTTGCGGTAACACTCACATGTCAACTTATTGCTTGCATTGGGCGAAGGTTATAGACATAGTACAATTAAACTACATGAGGTGGCACGTGTATCGTACCGACAAATTTATTTGAAATTAATAATATATGTCATTCAAATTCAATGAATGTACTATAATTCTTAATTAAACAATATAACTCTTGCAAATTTAAAACAATATTTCCACAATTATTTCTTCTGCAGCAGCAACGCAACAGATCAAGCTAGTATTATATAATTATACTGGTAGAAGTTACACAATCAATATAAGACCTATTTATTTATTTATTTACTGGGTCTACCAGCAATTTTACATTACGTATGTTACATAGATTTCTTAAAGTATATACATTACATGCACAGGGTATGTAAAATCATTTAAAGGTAAGCACTTCAAGCTATTTTTTTTTTAGTATTATTTAATAAATCTAAAAGTGAGTTAAAAGCAGAAACAATCCAAAACCAGAAACAAACAAAAAAAAAACGATATAACAGTAATTTGGTAAAAGCCTGCAAAATTTTATCAATTGAACAGTTTGAAAAGAATTTTAATTTAGCAGATTAATAATTAGTGTTTCAATTAAAATAACTACTAAACTTAACAATTACCATAATCTAACTCTACGTAATATAATATATAATAGACTAAATTAAAATGTACATAATAATAGAATGTCCAAAATGCTTTCGGATTCTTCTGAATTTGCTTTTCTAGTTTTTCATGATAATTGTTGTAGGCATCACGCGTAATTTTTTTACAACGATTACTAAGCACTCTTAGTTCTATTTCATCCATTGGATTATTACATTTTTTAATTTGTTTTACTTTTTGTGTTTTTCTTTAACTATTTTTGCAACTTTGTGATTTATCCATGAAGGGTACCTATTACTCTTAAGTTTAAACCTATTGATTGTGTAACTTCTAAACTATCTATATACTAACTATATACCAATTGAGGTCATATAAAAATATAGTTTTTTCATGACAATGTTTCATAACCGTGCTAGGATCCGATGTTGGCGTGATGTAACATTTCATCCAGTTTTTTACAAATTTTTATTGGACCAAAGTGAATGACTTATGCACATATGTTGTCTTCGTGCCAAATAGCAATAGATCTACTTCTATAAACTTCTTTGTTTGTAGGGGACTGCAAATGCCTTTTGCCATCTTTGGACTGTTAGGTTGTTATTTAAACTCAGTTTAGCTTACAATAAATTACTTTCCATCACTCCATTCTTCTCCAACTACCCTAAGCATGTATTTTGCATGTGAGCAGGAATATTGTAGTGATTTGAGCCATGAAATGTTATCAAATAAGTTAGAGCAACTTTGGGTATGCCAGTAGCACGTGGGCCGCCGTTTGTTCCTTTCTCATACATGTTCTGCACACACCGTGCCGTATTATATCACTTGTTTAGTCTTATTAGAACCTTGGTTCAATAACTCTTTATTGTTGGCAGGGACTACCATTCCTACAGTCTTCTAGATTTTTCCAAAGCAATATTCGCAAAATTATATCCAAAGGATGTTAGCAAATTTAAAAGCATAAAAAATGTGTTTTTTATTTCCTCACCAGGCGTAAAGATGAATTAGTCCAAGCGTTGCAAGAGATATCAGTGGAGGACCGCAAGCGTAGGCTGGCGAACAGCAAAGCGGACCTGGCGGCCGCCGAAAAGAGGATACGTCAGATCAACAAGGAGATGGAAGAAGTCGAGAAGAAAGTGCAGGCAGCTGTGAAGAACGAGAAGGCCTTGAAGCTCGAGCTGGACAAGTGGAGGAATAAGGTATGCACTCAGGAAACCTAACCTCTTATAAAAGAGATCGTAGCTTTTTAATTGTGAATTATATTTATCACTATATAACTTTTTTTCAATTAATAGAATTAGGGTTACGAACTAGCACACAGTCTACCTGATGGTAGGGGGCTGCTGTGACCCATAGACATCTATATCTATCCTCGATTACGAATCACAATGCAGATGCGTTGAAGCCCCTGAGGACTAAAATCGAATGCTTCATTTCCAGTAATAAGGTTCTCTGGTTCTCTGAACTCACCATACAAAACACAGCAGCATGAAGCTGCTATTTTACGCTAGTATTCTCTGAAAACCTAGTCCTACCCCGGTCGAGTCGACCCATTCGTACTACAACCGTAATATAGATACAGCATGGCTCTACCATGTAAAATTTAATGTTATTTAGTGTAGTGGGGGAGTAATAGAATCCATTACCCCATTACGCCTTTTAAGAAGCGAGAATGGAAAATACCAGAAAAATCTTATGGCTTCCGACAGATATAACCGTGTTGTTTACGAATGAGGCTAAGTGTTTGCTGTTAATTTCGCAGTACTCGAGCAACCCGGATTCGATCCTTGTTGGCACCAATGAAATTGTTAATTACAATTTTAAGTGTTGATTTACCACGTGCTAGGCGGTAAATGAAAACATCTTGAAGGAACCTGGATGTCTGAGAAATAAGAAAAAAATACTACGAAGGCATGTAAAATTCGTCAGCAAACATTAGAGCAGCGCAGAGGATATTTCCTAGCCATAAAACCTTCACAAAAATGAGAGGAGGCTTGTACCCAGCTGTGGGACGTATATAAGTTGGAACATTTACGCCATACTTGAAATTCCCAGATTGGCAATGGTACGTCTGGTAGACAAGCGAGAATATTAAGGCAAATCCTCTCTAAAACAGGAAGGGCCTACGGCCAGCAGTGGACTAGCAGGGGACGATTAAGGGTGGGAAAATAAACTTGATGTCCGCTTATTGAATTTTACTGCGAAATTCTGTTAATTTTATTTATTAATAGAACCAGGCGTTCCATCTATCCATTACTGCCTATAAAAGTCCACTGCTGAACATCCTCCCCATAGATTGCCTCATAGATTTTGCCATAGTTGACACGTTTGGCGAGCGGGTTGCCAACCGCGATTTTTTTTATTATTTTGTGTTGTTTTCGGGAAGATGCTGCTGCCCATTACCTGTTTCGATTCCTCTCTGTCGCATCTTACGACACCCACGGAACGATATGAGGTAGTAGATATTCTTACACCGCCCTTATTATATATCAGTCGTTACTTTGCAGAAATGCAGTAAATCAAATATGTTAGAAATTATTTAGCTAAGATCCATGTAGTAAACGAGCTCTTAGTAGTCATCACCGCAGAGTCTATCTGCCTCGTTTAGAGGCGAAACACATGTCGCATTATCGACTGTGGTGTGTCTTTCCTAGTATAGTGATGTTTAGAAGTAGTGGTGACGGGGATTGTGCACGCAATTGAGGGAGGGCAGGAAGTGCTCTTCAAACTAGGTAAAACATTTCATTTCATATTATTATGCGGATCTTAGCTAATGTATTATTCAACTTTTAACCTATTAGCTTATCTATTATTGATATAAAGTGTTTTTAATTTAAATATATTAGGAAAAAGAAGCTCAAGACAAAATGGAAGAAGACGCCAAGGGATTAGAAAAGATGGCGTCGAAGGAAGTGCTGCTACAGGAGCAAATACAAGAGTCGCTGGATAAGATAGCCGCGCTCGGCACTTTGTCTAACGCGCCTGAACTGCACGCCAAATATCAGAAGATGTCTTTGAAACAGGTAATGTTCTTTCCTCGATAAAATTTGATCCGGGATATACGCAAATAACATGTCAATTCGATTATGACTATATAAGTGCACTTTAGCGTAATAGCGACTAATAACAGACTACGGGTTCTATATGAGGACTAAATGGGAGTGGGGGAATTTGAACGGAAAAGTCTCACCAAATTTTATTTAAAAGGAGAGGGTCCATTTAAATCTTTTTTTAAATAGGATTATGGTGACAAATGAGCACAAGTCCACTTGATGGTAAAAATTGTATGATCCATAAACATTTACGAGTACATTTATCGTCGACTATAAATCAAATTTCAGATGCGTTTTCACTCGTGAGGACTAATGGAATGCCTTATTTCCAGTAAAAGGAGTCTCCGGTTCTCTACACTCACCATACGAAAAACAGCAGATAAAATCACAAATCTCACCGTAATTTTTTTTACTTTTTTCGTGTAGTAGCGTCGGATGTGAATTGACTACGTCATGAAAGGCGGCAGAAAGAAACTGATAACAGTACAAAGTAATAAAAGCTGTTGTTGTCATCCTTCCTGCCGAGTGTGACATCTTTGGTAAATATTCCACCTATGAAGCACATGAGGCATGTTCAGTAGTGGACTTTGATGGGCTGTAGTGATGATGATGGCTATTATTATTATTATGGTCGGGCTTTATGACTCTGAGTAAAGCTCTTTCTAAGTATAAAGCAGGTAATTTGGCGTCTTATGACCTAATACTCAAACTTTACTCAATTTCAAGATGCCGTCAAGTGTCGTGGTGTCACAGTCATTGCAATTTAAAATAATAGAGACAGCACGAGACTTAATGGCGCCTTAAAACTGTCTAGTGCTTGAGTATTTTGGCATTAGTCCCTCGGGGATGATAACTAATTAAAATCTACTTGTTATAGTTGTTTAAAGAACTTGAGAAAGCAAACCAGCACCTCAAGAAGTACAGCCACGTAAACAAGAAGGCCCTGGATCAGTTCATCAGCTTTTCTGAACAAAAGGAGAAGCTGTATAAAAGAAAGGAGGAACTGGATATTGGGTAAGGTGCAAATTCTATTTGAAACAGATTTGACAGTAATATAGCTCAGCTGTGGAGAGCTCAGGGGCTAAGCACTCTCCTGTAATATATTATTATATGTTCAAACAAAGGTGACAGAATGTTTTATGACTTAAAAAGAAACTAACACAAAGTCAATCCTCGATCACAATCAATAAAAATGCAGATATGTTGTCACCCGTAAGAACTAAGATGGAATGCCTCTTTTCCAGTAAAAAGGGTCTCCGGTTCTCTACACTCACCATACGAAACACAGCAGCACTAAACTGCTATTTTACGCTGGTATTCTGTGAGAGTGTGGTCCTTCCTCGGTCGAGCCGACCCATTCGTGCTACAATTATACTAATAATGTCGCTGTGTGTGGGAAAACGGAAGCTAAATCACATTCATGAATATGTATATATAGAATGAGGTGCCGGCTTGCCCCGGCGGGGTTCCCCTTTCCTTCGGCTATAAATAGCTGCAACATGGCTCTACCACATACATACATAATTTTATGGTTCTCTTACCCTTTATACTGGTACCCAGAAATGTGTGCATTGTTTCATCGCAACAAAAGTGAATGATAAACACGAACCCTACGTGTATTTACATTTATATTTTTATTTGGATTGACTTACGCACCTACGGACGCTTAAAGTCTTGTACCCTGAACAAGCATTTGTATCAACATTCTTCTTGCAATGTTATCTAATATGTTTCATTCTCATTTGGTAGTTCAAAAGGAAAGCAATTAAATTGTTGTATAATATGTTACTAGTGATCGCTAAGTGGTCGAAAGTCTATCGAAATGTTTAAGTTTGTATATTAAGCAAGCTTTATGTATTATCCTGTCAACTGCACATTAAAACACAGCCTCATTGGTGTAGTAGTTGTAGTAGTGCTACTGCTAATCATGAGGTCCTGGGTTCGAATCTTGGGTCGGACCGCAGTGGCGAAATTTGGTCTGGAGGAATTATCTCATAATATACAGATCATAAAATAACCTTTTTGCCTGGAGGTACACTTCACAGACTATAATTATTGAAAAGGGAACATTTGAAATCACACAAAATTACGTAGCAATTATTTATTGGCAACATTTAAAATTCTTTTGGCAACAATTCCTACTCTTTGCGATTGTTTGACTACAGACTATTATGTGTTTGACATTGGCAGTATGAACGCTAACAATGAATGATTAATTTAATTTAATGTATTTGATCGTGTAGTGGTGGTGTAAGAAATTCCCCATATAATCCTGTATGTGACGTAAGAGGTATATCCTTGATAGAGCCATGCTTCAGCTATATTACGGTTGTAGCGTGAATTGGTCGACTCGACCGGGAAAGAATCACGCTGTTAGAATACCAGCGTGCAACAGCAGCTTAATGCTGCTGTGTTACGTATGGTGAGTATAGAGAACCGGAGACCATTATTACAGGAAATGAGGCATTCCATCTTAGTTCTCAGGGGTGATAACGCGTTTGCATTTGATTCTTAATTGAGGATAAATGTATATGTCTATGGACCACAGCATCCACTTATCATCAGGTGGACTGTGTGCTCGTTTGTCATCCTTATTCTATAAAAAACAGGAAATTAGCAGCAGCGTCTTCCTAATAATAACTAAAAAATAAAAAAATGATGTTGCCAACCCGTCTGCCAAGCGTCTAGCAACTGTGGCAAATACAATGGACTAATCTATGGGGAGGCCACGTTCAGCAGTGAGGGATAGATAGATATATAGATAGAGCATTTATTTGTTTCTCCTATCACACACGTAAATTCAGTGACTATAAACTAGGTTCTAAGAAACGTATTAAAAAAATAAGTTGCGTAATTTTAAGATTCAAAAGTTTTTTACGTGGTAGAGCCATATTAGTAATATAGTTGTTGCATGAATGGGTCGGCTCGACCGGGAACAACCACACTCTCACAGAATACCAGCGTCAAATAGTAGCTTAATGCTGCTGTGTTTCGTATGGTGAGTGTAGAGAACCGGAGACCTTTTTTACTGGAAACGAGGCATTCCATCTTAGTCCTCACGGGTGACAAGGTATCTGTATTTTGATTCGTAATCGAGGATAGAGAGGTGGACTGTGTGCTCGTTTGTTATCCTATCCTATAAAAAAATGCATTTATATCACGGTTGCATCACGTATGGGTCGAATCGACCAGGGTAGGACTACGCTCTGACAATACCAGCGTATAAAAGCAGCTTAATGCTGCTGTGTTTCGAATTGTGAGTGTAGCAATCCGGAGACCCTTCTATTGTAATCGAGGCATTCCGTCTTTGACCTCAAGAGCGGCAACACATCTGCATTTTGATTCTTAATCGAGGATAAATGAAGAAGTCTATGGGCAACAGCATCGACTTACCATCACGTGGACTTTGTTCTTCTTTGTCACCCAAATTCTAAAAAAATGTGTGTTGCAGGGTAACAGATGGGTCCTAGCTCAGCGATTAATATTGTTTAGAGAGCAAACACAGATTTTCAGCTAAGCAGCAGTGGACATTTGATAGCTGACAGTAGTAATATGTTTGTAACACAAATTCTTTGTAAATTTTTACTTTCTTTTACATACAAACTTTGGCTATGCCAAATCTCTAACTATTCCTTGCGCGCAGTGTGCTCAAAAAGGGGAACCATTTTACCTCCACTTATTAATATATGGATACTCAGTCCACCAAAGGGACCGAACCGACAAAGGGGTCGAACATTGATGATACCGCTTTGGAACGCGCGCCAAATTGTTCGATGGAACGCTCGAACGTGGAGCGGGCCATTCCATCAGGTGTCTGTTTTTTAACGCGTATCAATGTAGTTAAGTTTTGTCGCGCGCCGCCGGTTTCGACGGTTGTTTTCATCATTCGTGTGTTTCTTGCGTTCCGAGCTTCAAAAGAACTGCTGTGGAATAGCAAAAGTAGTTTTTATCATAATAAAGCGCTCTGAGAAGATACATGGAGAGACCTATGAAAGCGGCAGCTGCTTGTACAGAACCGACATCCATGTTGAACGGTCAAACACGAACAGCTGGCTCGCTTAGTTGATATACTTGGAACATTTGGAACGTGTGCCGCGGGACGCACTGGTCGGTGCGGCGCGGACCATCATGGCGCACGCACCGGCAGCTCGTGATCGATACGCGGCAATTTGCTGCGTACATGTGTAGAATAAATGTGTGTTGACTGCCTCGTTGGTCTAGTGGTCGCAAACTGGATTGTTGATCATCAGGTCTCGGGTTCGAATAACTGATTTTGGCTGGATTTTGAAAATCAGTTATTTTTTGAAACAGAAACTAAAGCTTTTTTATTCAATGTAGATTATAACAATACTTATTGAAAGTCACTTTTTCCATTTACCACTGGTTCGCAAAAAAAAGAACCAGCAAGAAACCCAGCGGAACTATTTTTTGTCCAATAATAGCTTACGATCATGTTTACAATTAACAACACAAGACAAATTAGAAATAGCTTGGTAGCGATCACCCTTCCCTAGGTTATCATCCATAAGTTCCTTAATATTATAATAGCCCTTTTTATACAAACTTAGTTTAATAACATTTTTGAACTTTGTGTATGACAAATTTTGTATATTTTCTGGGATTTTGTTGTAAAAGCGTATACATCGCCCCAAGAATGAATTACTGACTCGATTGAGTCCAGTAACTGGTACTACTAGCTTGTGTCTGTTCCTAGTATTTACAGAATCAATATCACTTATTTTTGCAAAACTACTTTTATTTTTGTGTACGTTCATTACATTTTCATAAATGTATTGAGAGGCCAGAGTTAATATATTAATTTCCTCAAATTTTTGTCTCGGTGACTCTTGGCTTTAAATTATGTATTGCTCTAATGACCCTCTTCTGTAAAATGAATATAATTTCAGTGTCAGTCGCGTGTCCCCATAGCAAAGTACCAGACGACATAATGCTATGGAAATAACTAAACTATTCTAGCTGTTTCAACACTGGTATTGAGTTTTTTATCAAGATATTCTCAGTAGAAGCTCAGTCAGGAAGTTGGTGGTGTTTCACCCCCGTGCCTCGGAAAGCGCGTAAAGCCGTTGGTCCTACGGCTATCAGTCGTGTCGGTTACCGTCTCATCGGGCTATGAGAGTGACAGAATAGAGTGCATCTGTGCTTGCGCATACACTTGGGCACTATAATCTTGTCTAGACTCCGTTGAGATTGGCCGCCGTGACCGAAATTCAGTATGTAGGACATTATTATTACTCGGTGTCAAAAACACTCAGTGATAAGAAAACTTACTTATCACCAATCCATCCCGTCATCATCATTGACACAAGCATACGTTAGCGTTGTGCACACTGCGTGTGGCCTTCCATGACTGACATTCAAGATTTAGCTGAAAAAGGCACATGTTAAATAAATTGACGGGAGAGATTTTTTTGTTGTTATTTTTAAATGTGAGTGAGTGTCAAAAATACTTGAAATGTATTGCATTGCAGTGCCCTGTCTCAGTTCTCTTTTTCGTCTAACGTAATATATTAAGACACAAAAGGTTTTCTTAATTTTTATATCTAATAATTTTGCAAGGGCCTGAATTTCAATCATACAAGTAGTTTAATGAAATATTTCATTGGCTAACTTATATACCGTTCCAGCCTATCAAAAGTCTAATGCTAAACATAGACTTCGTTCTATGCCTCATAGTTAGCTCATAATTGCCATGGTTGTCACTTGTCACGCAGGTGGACGGATTGGGAACCGCAGTTTTGTGTTTTTTATGACGAAGACACTGCTGCTCATTATATAATTTTAGTAAACTTTTATTAACACTTCTTCTGTTTTGAGAAAAAGTGACTCGATCTAGTGTCTGATTATTAAGTTTTAATAATAATAATCAATTAAACAAGCGCAGGAGCACTGTCTATTCCCTCAATCGCATAATCCGACGAGACGATGTTTCGACACGACTGGAGAGAGATCAGGCGTAGGAGACGGTTTTACGTTCTTTTCGAGGCACGGGGGTG